TACTCCTGAAAACAGGTGTGGAAAAAGATCCACGTGATGAAGTAAGTGTAACAAAGTAAACATAACTAACATTATCTTTTACAACTTTCATGTATTGTGAATTTTCTAATGTGCATGTGAACTGGCTGTTTTGAATACAAGACAACCACTGCATATGCGCATTAGACTGGTTTTGAAATCAATATATTTACATTACTATAAATTGTAATCCATATTGTATAAATTAAAACAATATTTTACTTCTGACATAATATAATTGAGCTGACTGTTTGACTGTTAATGTGAAAGTCACTGGAATTGATTTATACTTGACAAGGATTATTACTTATTTTATTTGTTTACTTATCATGACCATGCTTAGACTAGATAATTATGTTATGTGCCCGTGCCTACATTGCCATGAAGCCTGCTCCATTGATACAGTAGTTTCATTGTAAAGACCGTGGAAATCTATTTTTATTTATTTCCATGCTTTGTTTCTATCTGTGTAGGCAATTGCTGCATCGATTTATAAGTGCATCATTAAAATTTTTGCCTTTCAGACACATAAGACACCGCTTCATTTGGCTGCAGAATATGGACATGATTCTACAGTTCAAATACTCCTGAGAGCAGATGTGAAAAAAGAACCACGTGATAAGGTGAGTGTAATAGGGTAAACATTATCTTTTGCAAAGTTTATGTATTGCTCTGTATGTGAACTGGCTGTTTTGAATACAGTACTGGCTTTGAAATCAATATATTTAGATTGCGATAAATTACTATCCGATTTCCTCAACAATATTCAGTATCAAAGACTATTAAAACAACTTAAAATCCTCCGACGCAATAAAATTGATCAAAACGTTTGGCTATAATTATTGCTGTAGTCAGTGACATAAATTCGTTTTTGATCAAGCATTATCGTGATCTAATTATTTGAATGTTACGGGATAAACTATTGTAATGTAATGTAATGTAGTGTAGTGAAGGCTACACTTATGGTGGTAGGGTTGCTGGGGTTTAGATATTTCACTCACAAAAATGACAACGGAAATGTGATTCAAACATCGGAGCCGATTCGTCAGTCAACAACTTTTAATTAGCATAATCACCGGTGTGATTCCGCTCCGGTTTTCACTACAACGAAGTGGGTCCACCTGCAGATGCGTATAGTTGGGATTTCTTTCACGGGCACGCTAGTTTTCGCGATCACGCTAAAAAGGCTAAAATGTCAATTAATTATTTTTTCGTTATGCAAATGTAATGAAGATTTAATTAGCTCAGCGACCGTACAATAGGTTGTGGCAAGGCGTAACTAAAAAGCACTTTTTGGCGTTAAATTTATTTTCTGTGATCATACAACGACTAAGATTCGTACTAGTATATATTTCAAGCAAAAGATAAGCCATAAAATAGTAGGCATTTCACAGGCATTTTAATAGGTAAACAAAATATACGCTTGATACAGTTCTTCCCAGCAAAATCGCCCGTACCTGCAAAGGTTCGGCATTTAAACGCGACCCTCACCACGCACCGGACGCAACTTTTCTATTCTTAGGAGGTGGGTTTACGAAATTTTGCACTTTAGATACCACAGCAAAATAGGGAATGATTCGACGACCAGGGAGAAGCGGCATTCCCTATTCGTCACATATATCAGTGATACGCACTCGTAAAACATTACATAAATAAACTGGCTAGGAAAAGAACAATTCTAGGAATTATAGTATAATAACTCAAAACCCAGGACTGACTAGTTTGTGTGTATGAATGTTCGTTACATGACGCACGGTTACTATTTTGTAGTAACCGTGCGTGACGTTTCCCGACGTGTGTCGAA